AAAAATTATTATTTTCAATTATTTCGGGAACGGGGGATAAAAGTCAATCCCCTTTTGAATGCCAATTATGATTAGAGACAAACAAATAGTAATATTTAAATAAAAACAATATATTTATTACAGTTTCTTTTTTTAATAAACAAGATTAATTAATTTTGTGTAATTTTTGTTGACTATTATTATTTCTGTTTTATAATGAATTCTTAGGTTCTATTTGCCTGATATTTATATTTATTTGTCTACTAGTTATCTTTAAAAATAAACTGTAACATTTAATTAATATATAAATTATTATAGCACTATCGGGATTATATACAAATATTGGAGAACTGCCATTTCAGCTAATATTATACTTTTATTTATTAATTATTTTTTAATCTATTAAATTTTATTTATAAATCATGTATTAAAATTAAAATTAAACTTATTGGTACATTAATAGTTAAACAAAAACTTAAAGGTATCTGTGAATGTCGCCAGTCATAATACATAAAATAAAAATAAAAATATTGCTTTTAAGGATTTTAGATGTTATACAGTTTGTAATAATGTATTAAATTTAAAAATTATATTATTTCCAAACAAGATTTAATTAAATTTCTATTTTCGTCTATTGCTTTTAATGTTAATTTAAAATAAAATTTATGGATTTTGATTTGAATTGAACTTGGTCATATACAATAGTAGATTTAATAATTTTAAAATAATATTAGTCATCCCACGGAATATCCCATAAGTAAAAGTAAAATTAAAATAAGTATGTTAATTTGTCACACAATAATATACTTACAGTTTAAGATAACATAAAAATTAAACACATCTAATTATAAATAACATTCAAAACGTAAGTATTGAAACAAATAAATAAAATAAATGTACCTTGCTCTTTCAGCGAAAGCATATTGTTGCCAAAATAAACTAGGCTCGGACATTGGTCAAAAAGCCCGATCACCAGTCTGTCCAATAAAATAATGAAATGGGTTAATAAAAAAAGTAAAAATCTTAACGTGTTAATAATAATAAATGTTTCAATCAATGTCAATTATTTAAATTTTATAAAATTAACTTATAGTTATTTATTTATACAGTTTTTAAATAATAGAAATTTTATTATACAGTATTATAATATAGGATATTTTATTAAAATATTTTCAAAACAAGACTAATTTAAATTATAATTTGACATTATTATTTATTTAGTACTGGAAATTAAATTTCTAATTTTATATGGACTTTATGTAATATAATTATTACACTATTATATAGAAAATATAAAGTATCGCTGTTTAAATATTATTAGCTAATTATTTATTGCATTTTATGAAATAAGTAAATCACTTTATTGATTCAGATTATTTCAATATAAAATAGTTTTAAATATTATATTTTAAAATTTCTATAAGTATCGTTAAAACTAAACTATTGAAAATACAAATTAAAACTATATTTTAAATAATGTCTCATAAACCTAACATGATGTTCATTGTTTTAGCAATTTATCTAGCTACTTGTCAGTGTATATCTTGGGAACTGGCTAAATTATCATTCTCAACATTTGTTTGCGGTATTGTATTGATATATTAAATAATATTTATTGTTTTAGCTATAAATATTATACTTTACAATATATTAAATTAATTCATAGTGAGCTGTAAAGACCCGGATGCTTCTAAGGCTATCAAATCCAGTAGTCTCTTCGGGAGAATACATAAAAGCATAAACCATAGTTGACGTTTAAAAATATATTCAATAACTCTATCCATTGCTGAATAAATCGTACCTCGCAAAACTTTGTACTAAACCTAATATATTAATTAGTTTAATTAGTCCCACAATAATATATTGTACTTACAGTTTTAAATAACATAATTTGCAAAAGTCAAAATTATTAATAGCATTCAAAAGATAAGTATTAAAGTAAATAAATTGAATTATTGTACCTTGCTCGCATAGGGAAAGCATATCGTGGCTAAAATAAACGAGGCCCGCCCATTGGCCAAATGATACAACTACCTGACTGTCCACAACATGAACGTCACTGGAGTCACAAAACAAGTTGGGTAGGTGAGGTAGGTGGGGTAAGTGGAGGTGGGGTAGATATGTGGGGGTAGGTAGGTGGGGTAGAGGGGACGTTTCCTTGAAATTTTCTTGCATGGGTCGTAAAGATGGGGTTACCCCGTAGGGTAAAATAGGAAACTCCTACTATCTCGCATGCCAATTACAATTAGAGACAATCAAATAGTAATATTTAAATTAAAAACAGAATATTAATTACAGTTTCATATTACTAATAAAAATATATTAATGAATTTAGTGTAATTTTTGTTGACTATTATTAATTAGTTTTGTTGTATAGTTAATTTTTAGGTTTTTATTTTCCTGATATTTATATTGGTTTGTCTACTAGTTATATTAAAAATAGACTGTAACAATTAATTAATACATGAATTATTATAGTATATTATAGTACTGTACTATCGGGATTATATTTATTTATTGGCAACGCAAGTTTGGAGGTAATATTATATTTTTTTTAATCTTTATTATTTATTTAATACATATAAGTATAAAGTATCTACCTCATTAATAGAAACTTAATCATATTATGTATGTTATACAATAAATCTAATATTTATATAAGTCATTAATCTGAATATGAATAAATAAATAATATTATCTTGAATGGTATTACATGTATGAAGTTTTATAAATAAATTATTAATAAACTTGAAAGTATAAAACGTTTTATGTAATATATCTTGTGCATGTATATAATATTAAGTTCAATTAATATGATGATTAATAAATTATAGTTACACTTAAGTTAAAATAATTATTTATTTATTTAAACTAAATCAGTCTAAAACTTAAAACTATTTAAAACTAAAAATTGAAGTAAAATTATGAAAAACATTGGTTTTATATTAGTATACAAATCCTTTAATAATAATAAAATATACATTTTTAGTTTTTACATCCAGTACACTTTTTATTATCTTAAAAATATTATGTGATAAATAGTACATGTGGTACTTATTTGATTAAACTAAGGAATTAAATGAACTAGATAAGTTAGTAACATAAAATATATACTTAATTTTACGTAGATATAAGTAGATATATTTTATGTTACTAACATTATTAACAGGTGTTTAAATTCAACATTATATATTTTATAGTTCATTTAATACCTTAGTTTAATCAAATAAGTACCACATGTACCATTTATCACATAATATTGTTAAGATAATAAAAAGTTTACTGAATGTAAAAACTAAAAATGTATATTTTATTATTATTAAAGGATTTGTATACTAATATAAAACCAATGTTTTTCATAATTACACCATGCTTATTTTCTTTTAATTTGTGCATTATGTTTTAGAAAATTATTTGTAACATAATTGTAAAATGTATAAATAATATTAAAACTTCCCCCTTGCTTAAAATATCACAATAGTTTATATACGATAACTCGTTTGATATATTTGCAAAAATTTATATCTCAATGAGAATGATGCCAGGTGCTCTTATCAAAATTTTTATTTACTATAAATTGCAGAATTTCTTTATAATATTAATTCTATATTTTTTTATAAATTCATAACAAGTGTATAATTAGTATTAAAAATGTTGTGTAAAGCAATTATTGTGTGTGTAACCATTAATTTTGCAATTTCATATGGTTTTGATGGTATAGCCAACACTGATGGGACTATTAGGACCCCGACACAAAACGCTCAGATTAGTGAAGCGGTAATTCAATTTTATATTGCATTTTAAATAATTATTTATGCATTAACAATAATTATTTGCTTTAATTTTTGTATTTAATAATTCATAATTTATTTCAATAATAACAAAATGTTTATAATAAACTCCTAGCTAAATTACGGTAATAGTTCCTAAAAACAATAATTATTACTCTAAACCTACATAATTTTATTTATTAATCACTTATTTGTAAATTAAAAGTTAAAGAAAACCTTAGATTTTGTCTTTGAAATGACTAATTATAAAACAAAAAATTTTTAAAAATATTATCATTAAGAATTTTAGATGTTTTACAGTTTGAAATAATTTATTAAAATAAATTAATAAATATTTTCAAACAAAATTTCATGAAATTTATATTTTAATCTATTTCATTTTATTGTTAGTTTAAAATAAGATGGCTTTGAAATTAATTTATTTAATCTTGCAGGTTAATAGATGTTATAATTTTAAAATATAATAATATGGCTGTTCTGGGGATTCCATTAATAAGTATAGAAATAGAATAAATATATTAATTACATCATCAATAATATACTTACAGTTTTAAATAACAAAAATTTATTAAATCCAAAATTATCAATAAGATACAGAACATATAAATTGAAATAAATAAACAAAATGATTGCACCTTGCTCTTACAGGGAAAGCATATCGTGGCCAAAATTAACGAGGCCCGGGCATTGGCCAAAAAGTACGACCACCTGATTGTCGACAACATGAACGTCACGGAAGCCACGAAACACATCGACGATATCCTCACGATCTTTATGGACGTCACGTACGACTTCGACAGTTACGCATGCGTTGAGTTGGACGAAAAGGACATGGGTCGTACTGTGGAAAATAACTGCTACGCCCTGATCACTAATAAAATCACCAATACCATCAAGGGAAAATACGAGCTGGTTGTCGGTGAGAAGGCATATATGGTGACCGACTCAGTCACTAACGAGGAGATTAAGTACGAGTTTTTCTTGGGTCCCCTATATTTCGGGGTCTATCGGAGTAAACCGTAATTTATGGATTAATATTGTATTTTGTATTTGATTTGTGATTAATAAATTACCCAGTTATCAAATTAGTTGAAGTTAAGCTTATTATAATATAGTGCGAGTTGAATCACAATTTTGTGTGCTAAATAATATTGATTTTTGAAAACAATTAAATATCATTTAATAAGATTACAGAGTATAACATTTTATTAATATTTAAATTAAATTAAACAAAATTTACACATATTTTAAAAATAATTTTAAACGGAGCGGCTCTAATATTCCAATTTTAATTAAAAACATAAAAATAATATTTTCTAAAAAAATTCCAGCATATTTATTACAGTTTATTTTTACTTTAAAAATGTAATCTTTTGACCACGTTTAAACATTTTAATTTGTTGAGCAGATTATTATTTATTTTACTTGTCTGATAATAATTTTTGTATTGCTATTAGTAATTTTTATAAATAAACAGTAACATTTAATTATTACACAAACCAATATAATACTATCATGATTATATATATTAATTGGAGGTAGCACGTTGCGGGAAAATATATTATTTTAATAAAATCTTTTATATTTCTTTTATACAAATAGTTACTATTTAATAGTATCTGTCGCATTAAGAAACTTATATTGTTGTAATTTGTAATTTATAAATCTTATATTTCTAGATGATTGTATAATGAATACGAATATTAATATTCTGAATTGTATTGAATTTATGAAATTTCATCAAGGACCATGCTTGCGTGTCTACAAACTTTGTATAACTAAATTACACCACTTGTTGTCCTCCTAACTATTATTTCATAAATTATTTAAAGAATGACTACAAACTCATAGTATATTTCTATGAATTTCGGGAAGTAATTGAAAATTAAATAAATATTTATATTATTGTGACAATTATCCCTGGGAGGACATTACACTGTCCACCTGACACCCTCGGGAGGACTGTTTTTAAGGGGCCGATTGGAGGACACACCTCCAAAAGGAGGACGTTTGGCAGCTCTAGATTACTGTCGGCGAGAAGGCATATATGGTGACCGACTCCGTCACTAACGACGAGATTAAGTACGAGTTTTTCTTGGGTCCCCTATATTTCGGGGTCTATCAGACTAAACCGTAATTTATGGATTAATAATTAATTTTTTGTATTTAATTTTGATTAATTAATTTTTCTATTAGTGAATTATGTTCAGTTTATTCTAATATAAATTAATATTGTGTACTGTTGAACCACAATTTAGTATGGAAAATAGTATTAATTTTTTAAAAATTATTATTTTCAATTATTTCGGGAACGGGGGATAAAAGTCAATCCCCTTTTGAATGCCAATTATGATTAGAGACAAACAAATAGTAATATTTAAATAAAAACAATATATTTATTACAGTTTC